GCCATCAGCGAGCCCATGGTTTGGTAGCACATGGAAGCCGTTCAGCCTGGTTTGTCTTTGGTTGAAAGCAATGATGCTCTGGCAGTGGAGGGAGAAGCGGGTTTGGGGACAGGAGAGCAGCACGGGACCAAGGCAGCGGTTGGGATCATGACCACCGGACCGTGAGTGAATCAGTGCATTGCTTTGGGAGGTCCTGGTTTTCTCTTGCATAAATAATGGCCATTTTTGCTGCTCTGAGATGTCCCTGCGCTGTTTTATGCTGACCACAGCCTCAGCTCGTCCAGTCTTTAAAGACACAAATCGTTCCAACTCCACGTTTTTCCTCTAGGCTGCGCCAAGGCATTTCGCCTTGCAGACACCACGGCAGAGGCAGCAATACTCACAGAACCTGAGGCGTCCCTGGGTGAACACTGAGGGCACCATTTCGACTTGCCAACAACCCAAACTCATCCCATTTGGGGATCAGAGACGCGTGGCAGACCCCAACAATTCAAACCCAGACGATCCGTCCAGGCACTTGGTTTGGGCGAAGTGAAATAAAAACCCACCCCGATCTCACGAACTCAAAAGGCGGCAGAACCCGCGCGGCCGAGGCGATGGGGTTGGGGTTTGGCAATGCCTGGCACGTTGCTTTCGAGACAAAGGCAAATCTCCTCGTGTTCACCGCGGTCCGCAACCGAGTTACTGGCACAGAGGTAACACGCGCGCTCCTCGAAAAGGAAGGAAGGATTAAAAGAGAGCAGTTTTGGCATTCGATGTTTCAAACGAGATTGTACAACACAAATACAGCTGGGTGTGAAGAAGGGGATAAAGGAAAGCGTTCAGCATCCAAACTCCCCTGGTTGGCCACTTGCTGTGCTGAAAACACATTTTCCATACACCTTCCCCACTTCCAAACTTCTAAGCGCACACGCACCCGTCCACCCCAACCAGAAAAAGAAATCAAATCAACACAGAAAACATTGAGAAGTGCCTCCTTAGTGGGTTTTTTGTTTTAGTCCTGGAGAACCTTTTAGTTTTGGAAACTGCAGGATGTGCTGAAGTGTCGGAGTCTATTTCAAAATAGAGGCGTTTAAAGCCTCCTGAGCTGTGTAATGAAAATGGGAGAGAAAAGGGGGAGAAGGGAGGAAGGAAAATTGTGGAGGGGAGGGGGTAAAAAAGGCAGGTTTGGAAAAATAGGCCCTAAAGATGCTACAAAAAGAAATCCTGACATTAAATACAGACCAACTGTATTGAATAAAAATTGCACTAGTCCTCTGGGCACATCAAGAATAAATTAAATACTTAACAATTTCACCGATTTAAAAAAAAAAAAGACAGCACAAAACCCATAACAAAAGAACATTAAACCCCCCCCAATACTGTATGTAGGAAAAGTGCACAAAGTTGCTTTATACAATGAATCTAAATAAAGTACCAATACATGTTAAATAGAGAAATTGTCTTGCAAGACGCTGCTTTTTGCATCAGTATTTACATATGCTTCAACTTCATGTACTGCAGCGGTGAGTCTGAGCTTCGTGGCCCCATCTGTACACGGGTTTTTCTTGTTCTCGTGAGCTGCTAATGCTGACCGGGAAATCAAACCACCCAAAAGCAGAAGCCAGGTCCCCAGTTCCCATTGGTTTCCAGAAAGGATCAGTCGTGTTCCTAACGTCTCACCAAACAGCTGGAGAACCAATTGGGGTGTGTGAAGTTGCTGTACGTGTAAGAAACCATCACCAGGCAGTGCCCACACTGCAATTCGTTACCAGAGCAGGACCACGGCGGTGCTGGAACACCCACTTCGCTCCCAGGATCTCTGACGCACCCCAAAAGGCGCCGGTTTTGACTCCGTGTGGCCTTTTTTCTAGGCAAGGGCACGACTTGAGGTGATTGATGCAGGTCAGTGTAACGTGGGATAGGATTCTTATTAACTCTGTTAAAGAGGATTCACTACAGAGAATCCCTCAGTTCCTAACCCAGGAAGCAGAACGAGGTTTTGGCTGGATTTTGGTTCCTGAACTGGGCACTCTTCAGTGCTGATGCTGACAACAGCACCCACCACCACCCGAGCTCTGCAGGGCTCCTCACACAGGGGATGTGTAAGACGATGGATTTGCTCCTGACCCCACTCAGACGCACAGTAACTTTACTACCAGTTGCAGAGTGAGCAGACTCAATGGACCAAGAAGGGGTGGCAAATGGGGCAGCAACACACAAGTGAAGGCATCGCCCTGCTTGGTGAGGAAGCCCGTTTAAATTTAGGGTGACCTGGACCAGAAAGAAGATAAAAGTCCAGTGCAAAGGACTGAAAGATGAAGCTCCACAAAGATGTAAAGCAGTGAGCTTTTGTAACCCTGTGCAAGAAACGCTGCACGGGCAGTGATGCTGGATACACCTTCACACAGGTATCATAAGAAAGATGTTTAATCCAAGGTGTATTAAAGGAAGGAGACCGTGTAGCAGCACCACAGGAACAGCTGTGCACATCTGCCTACATCTGGTACCACTTACAGAGGTGTGTGCCTGGAGTCAGGCCTCTTCATTCAGCAGAACGGCTCCAGAGACACACGTGGGAGCTACAACCAGAACATGGTCCCTATTCAAAGAAATTGTCCTCTGAACTAAGGATTTACACATCCCAGCGTTCCTCTGAAATGGAATTGCAGTGATTATGGCATTTTTGCCACGCTGCTTCATCCTACATCCAGTCCTGAATCACTCCATGAATACAGACCAAGCAATCTGCCCTCTGCCAACTGTTAAGGGCACGTCCTACAGCTTCAACTCAGAGATGAGTTCAGAGGGAGCACGGCTGGGTCAGAGGCTACCGGAGAGTTTCAGACCAGGCACTGAAGTTTCAGACCAGGCACTGAACAGCCGAGACGGGAGAATGCAAGTCCATTTCTAAGATGGGTGGAAGGAGATGGTTTATTATTTAGGGAAGCACGAAAGGCCCTAGGGCCAAGGTTTTGCACTGCCATTGATGTGCAGCAGTTTCAGCACCGTTACTGGGACCATTTCAGATTCACACCAGATAACTGGGACCGAGATCAGAGTTCAGCCCTTGGGACTGTGCATCCCAGAGCTCCAAAGGGAACAAGAATGAGACAGCAACAAGACAAAGAAGAACCTCAAGACCCAGATTGCACAGACAGAAAGCTGTGGTCTGGCTGCAGCAAAGCTTGGGACAGGAGTTTCTTACGGAAACAGGGATCTTCTCTTGAACCAAGAGGACACCCTGCTAAAGACTGAGTGGAGTTTCCTTACTGTTCCACTTTTAGATGCGTGTGTGGACACCGAGTGCTGTTGGTTCAGTCTGAGGGCAGCATCTTGAGCGAAGAGCTGGCTCGCTGTTGCTTCAGTATCTGAGGACACAATTAGGTCAATAGAGAGAAACCTGCAAAGGTTTAATCCACTACGGGCTGCAGCACGACAGCAGCCAGTGCACATCAACAAAGTAAAGAAGTCAAACAAGTACTGGATGAAAAAATAACATGACTGTGTATCACTGCTGATGTAATGCAGGAGGATGGGGAACTCTGCCTGGTACCTCTCGATGTCTCGATCCCTTCAAGATCCTAGCGCTATCCGTAAGGCACTGTGGCCCAACCCCAGAGCCAGCAGCCTGGGGGTGTCCAGGCAGGCTAAATATCAGCTGTGGATTGAAAACCTCTGATGTACTGCAGTTGAGGGCACTCTAAAGAGGCTCTGGCAGGAGCACACCTCAGTTGGCATCCAAACTCCCAGCCAGAGGATAATCTCCAGTGGCACGTGTGCTCCTGAGACAGGATGACACTGCTGCAGCATCTCTGCAGAGCTACTGTAGCACGATCCCCGTAACACGGACCATAAACACAGCAACAAAGTGCTCCAAGTAGAAACACATTCCCCCACTCCAGCAAAGAATAAGACAAGAAAAAGGAAAGAACCACAAAAGAAGACTCTGCCGGTCCTTGGAATCGAGGAACTCAATGCTGAGATGCCCTGCTCACATGCTGCAGCATGCGGGGGAGAGCGCAGAGGGATACACATGCAAGTAGAAGCCTCCTTCACAGAGATGCTAAGTCCGAAATCAGAAGTGACCAGGAAGCAAACTGACCCAAAAGTCAAACTGCATCGTGCAGCCAGCCCCGTGTTTGGGCGGTGGGAGATGGACGTGGCTTTTCTTCCCTGACACAAAGCCCATCGCCAGCGACAAGCTTCTCCCAGCCTCAAAAAGATTAGCACCGCTGCTTCCACAACACTGTGCAGACTGCGCCTTGGCCCAGGAAGCAGGTGAGCTATGGCTTTGAGCAGCGAACCACCAAGGGCAAAAAGAGGGGAGCGTGGCTGGCATAGTCCTGAGAGCAATTAAGGTGAGTAGCCATCACTCTCAATCCTACCCCTTCTCTTGTGCCTTCTGGAGCAGAGTATCTCTGCCCCACAAAACAGCCTGTTCCTGACTTAGAGGTCATCTTTTTAGTTTCTAAACTGGCCCCAGCAGTTCCCAGCCGCTGCAGCAGCCCCGTGGGAGAGCGGGCTGCTGGCCACGCTGCCAGGACCGAGGGCTCCACGTCAGAATCCCCTCCAAACAAAGTGCTCAGACGAAAACTCAGTGCACAGCAACTACACCGAAGCAGAAACAGGTTCGTCTGATCGTATTGTTGGTGGGTTTCTCCTGGTGATAGAGGGTTTCCTTTTCTTCTCTTTTTTTTTTTTTTCCTTTTTTTTTTTAACTTTTTAATGCTAAACTCATCTCCCATACTTTTCACACACTCAAGTCCACACGCCATGGTCTGTGGTTATGCCCTAGGAGTCTCCTACACAAAAATCAACCGTCCAGTAGTCAAGCATGAGAACTTAACACCAACAGGAAAGACCCCTCGTCCTTCCCGTGTGCATCTCAACCTATATGTGCAGGCATCAAAAACAGACCAATCTGCAAGAAACACCAATATACCAAGGATGGGGCTCTCGGGGCTTCTCGAAATTCAGCCCAACTTCAAGACAGCAAAGGGGAGGTGGGGGAGTTGTCACTAACACTCATCTATATTAAGGCTGATGAACTCCTGTATACACTTCCTGTACTGCAGCTCAGTAGGGCTGTTGCTGGGATATTGACCTGGTTGTCCAAAGGGACCCTCTGCTTCTCGCATCTCCTCATTCATTCGAGCCAGACGCAGCCTGCAGCGAAACAGAGAAGAGACAAGGAAGAGGAGTTTGGTTATTCCTTCCCTGCTGGCTATTTGCAGGTACAGTTGTTGTATCCATGCATTAGAAAGTCAGTGCACTTACAAGGTGACTATGTCTGCGTTGGCTGCCTGGACAGCGATACTGAGCGGGTCCTGCCCGTCGCCATCCACCGCGTGCTGATTTGCCCCTCGCTTGAGGAATAAGCAGACTTGACTGCAGAAGGGAAAAATCAGAGCAGGAATTCCTCCAGCTTAAAGGTCTTTTCCAACCAAATGATTCCATGACTCAAAGTTGTTGATGAGGTATAAAAAGCCATGCTTTGCAATTAACCAAAAGTCACCAAAACGCCGCCCCATGGCTCTGTGTTAAGGCTGAATCTCAACCCAAGGGTGATGGAGCACGTCACAGCGACGTGCAGAGCACTTACCCAGTGTGCCCCAGGTACGTGGCATGGTGCAAGGGAGCTCGGCCTCGGATATCTCTTTGGTTAACATCTGCCCCGTTCTGCAGCAAAAAACTATCAAGGAGCCCTGGCAAGGTAAAGGGGAAAATCTAAATAAGTTCAGCCAGCAGTACTGAGAGGATGCACAAGCACACACCAGGCCGTAAGTTGCCCATTGTCAGTGCCCTCTGAACCAGAATCAAGATCTCATATTCCCAAATGCGGCCCCCCAGCCACCAGCACAACGTACCCCCAACACAGCTTGAATCAGAGGAGTTTTGTTCTCATCTTCGTCATTCACCCAGTTGATCTCAGCACCGTGTGCGAGCGCTTCTGCCATGAGAGGCAGGTTTCGGGCTTGTGCTGCCTTGTAGATCAACAAGCCAGGATGCAGCTCCCTCAGGTCTTCCAAATCTGATGCTTCCTGTTCAATCTCTGCTTCACCGCTTGACTCCTCTGACACCTCGCACTCTAAGAGGCAGAAAAACGATGGAGATAGATGACCCAAAAGCTTTGCATTTCCAATTTCTGATGTTCCCTCTTGTTCCTGGCACCAGGCAGTCCTGAGCACCCATCCTGCCTTAGCACTGGCCGCCTCCCCATGCTTCCATCAGCACCCTGTGACACCCACCTTCCTCTGTCACGCTGTCCACCACAGAGCCAAACACCAGGATGTCAGTGCTGCCGTCGGTGCTTCCTCCAAGTCCGCTGTCGCTGCTCAGACCTGCGGGGCCAACAGAAGACAAACCAAGCCCATTTTAATACACAGGCATTCTAGTACCGACCACAGCTGAGACCACAGGGGAGAAGGGCTGCGCAGAACGTCACACACACATTGCACCGGGCGCTGCTGGCAAGGGAGAGGGCGACCGCTATCCCATTTAGCCTCGCTCAATAAAACTGCCCGTGGCAAAATTGCAAAGCCTTATGGTGTCCACGTCCCCACGCTGCCCTTCATGCAGGGATGCTCCAGCATTGCCATTTGGGACTTGGGACTGCTGAGGACAGTCCTTGCTGCAATCCATGAGGGACGCCGTGACGTTGACTGGAGCAGAGCAGCAGCAGAGACAGCTTTGCAGCAGGTTATGCAGTGTCATAAGCAAATAAAGACACCCCTCTGCTTTTACCACTAATAATCTCAGTTTCTACTCTATCCGTGCTCTCCCACTTGGCACTGGGGCACTTGCCAATGCCTTGCTCTTGTGACAGACCATGACTGGGCCAAATAATAACGACAGCATCTAAAGCCAAATTCCTAATGCATTGTCCATTGGCTCATTGACCTTCACAGACATCCCTTCCCTTTCCCCATAGTGCTTCCCACCTTCCCTGCTCAACTGGTGGACGTTACAGGACAGCAGACTACATCCAAGATGTGAAGTCATGAAGAGATGAAGCCACATGGACACACAGCGTCTCAGTGGCAGAGAAATTTTGTACCTTTTCCAGCTTGTACCCCAAAGCAGTCAAGAAAAAAATGACAGGAAGGAAGAAGCACATGCAGGAATTGCCCCTGTGGGAACAGGGACTGCACATCACCTGTGTCCCGAGGGATGCCTGGTCCCCTTGGGAACTCTGGCTGGATGCAGCTTCTTGCTGCTTTTAACTTCCCAATGATTAAGGGCTGGGGGTGTTTGTCCTCCCAGAACTCAAGAGGTGAAGTCCCCATGATCTACCCCAAGACCTACCCTCAAACTTCTGTGATTACAAAATAAAACAAGCCAGGCTGTAGCTGACAAAATGCTTCCAAAATACATGCCGAGAAGTCTCTGCAAAGAGTAATAGCAGGAAAGCCTGCAAGAACTAAAGATCTGAGCCTTGAAAACCACAGCAGAACAAGTCTTGGTGAGACTATGCCCTCCACTGTGTCAGTATAAGTAAAGAGTGACTCCAATGAGGCCACAGAGCACTACTCTAGATTTACATCAAAGCAAGAAAGGAGGATCTTGCTCATATCACACGAATATTAGTACATCAAATTCCCAGTTATGCTCCCACTGAATCAGTGATAAAATCCCTATTTTCTTCTGCAGGAGCAAGATGAGGCTGTTGGGCAACTCTGAAGTCCTGCATCTCCCAAGTATAATTGCTTCTGACTAATAACACTAAATTCCTTGACACTGGAATAGCCCTTAAGGCACCGATTCAGAGAAGCACTAATGCTCCTCCTTCATCCATTTCAAGAGACAACATGTACCTGTAGGAAAGCCTGTGATTTTCTGCTGTGCTGCCTCAGGACCATAAATATTTCTCATAAGTTTGCACAATAACAAGCAACTGAGCTGGGTAAGCTTTAAAAAGTTACCACTCCTCAGCTAAGTATGATAACGGATCACATAACTGGTCTGAGACAGATGTGGGGCATTTGGAGCCAACACTTCTTACTTCCTATTTGCCATGGGATCCTTTATCCCATCAGAGGGACACTTGTTCCTTTAAGATGTAATTTGACTGCTGGAAACCCTATCAAGTGTTTTGCCTTTCAAAAGCCTGCTATAGCCTCTTTCCCACACGGGACTGGTGATGTATGGGTTTGGCTGAAAGAAAAGACGTAACTGCCTCTGAAGCTTGGGTTGGATTCAGTAAAATTTGGGTGTCTCTTTTGCTGCTAGCTGCCAGAGCGTCACCTTACCTCCGTCCAGGAGGAACGGCGTACCGCTCCCACCGGGACCAATGCCACTGCCACTCCATGGGCCACCTGTTAGCGGATGCTGCATAGAGATGTGGCTGGCACCTAGAGGAAGGTGGACGGAATGTGAGGGGAGTTCATCGTCACAAACACAAAAAGAAAAAATTGTCCGCAGTAAGACTTGCTAAAAAAAAAAAAAAAAAAGGGAAAAAAAGAAAATTAAAAGCCAAAACTAAAAGCCAATGGAATGCATGGTCTGGGAGTAAAAGATGTTGGGAAAAAAAAAAAAAAAAGATCCCATCAACCAGAATGCAAACACCAAGGACTGACTGGATAGGATATTAAAATAGTAAATGCAATAAAAGAGCAATGGGTTGGAGTTTGCCCAACGAACTCCCCATCACTCTTCTGCAATATTTACCCTCTCTCCATGGGGCCGATACCTTGCCTTAGGTCTGGTGCAATGCACGTGCCCTAGAAGAGCTGGGAGGTAAAGCGTGCCAGGAGCAGAGACACCGTTCTTTCTCTGTACTTACTGCGTGGGCCGGAGCCAGCACCAGTGTCAAAGTAGGAGAAGAGAGAGTCCAGCTCGTCAGGGCAGAAGAGGGAATCTCGTCGGAACTTCCTCTCCAGGGTAGCTGCTATTTTACACGAGAGATTTTGAAATACGTAGTTAATAACATGTCAATGAACAAATGAGACCCAGTTCTACAGCTGTATTTATACAGGCTGAACTTGCATGCCTGATGCAGCCCAGATGTGTCCAGTGCCCACGTACACCACTGAAATATAACAAAGAGATGACCATAGGGGTGATACACTGCAGGCCAAGTCATACCAGAGCATTTTGAGCAGCCAGAACTCTCCTTAAGTATGGCCTCTCTTGCAGACCAGGCAGGTAAAACTAAAAGGATTTGAAACTTACTGAAAACCAGGAAGGTGGAATACAAAAGAAAATGCACAAAGCAAGCTTAAAAGTTGCTGGATCACCCCAGTGTAAGGATCTCCTCCTTTAGGCACAAGAACCTCCTTAAACAGATGGAAAATGTTAGGAAATGGCTCTAAAGACCTGTGTGAACACGGTTTGTGCAATAGCATTTTTGCTCATAGCTCTGGCAGGTTTGCAGGTCCTAGAGAAAGACAGGGCCACACACATTATGAGGGCAGTTGTGTACACAGCTACACAGAGTGGTGGGCGGGCCAACACAACTCTACATGGGCAGTGGGGCAAGGGAGGTTCCCACCTGAGGACAGCATGGCTGGTGAGGCGTTCCCTGCTTCGTGGCGGTACTTTCTACGAGCCGTGGGTGCCTTCGTGGTGCTGTTGTGTCTCTGGCACTTCTTCACGCACCAGCGTCGAGGTTTCCGCTCGTTCTCCGTTAGTGTCTCCCCATTTGGCAGCTTCTTCAGGAATTTCTTCTCCACATACTTCACCTTGATCCAGGCTTCCTTGTCCTGCCTGAGAGAAGAAAAACATAAAGCTGTGCCCAGGGTCACAGGTACCTGAGGTAGTGAAGCGCCAGTCACACTCTTCACCTGACTTTCCAGAGTGCTTAGGGTACTGGGTTTGCTGTGTGGATGGGCAGCTTTCAACAGGACTGAGAGGACCAGTGTGTGCACTCAGACTCACCTGGAGCTCCCTGCTGTTGGTTTCTTAAGTCCCAGCTCTTCACACTGTGCCTCATAAATCTGATTCATGGTACTGTTTCCCAGCTCGCACATCAGCTGCAATACAAGAGGGAATGAATTCATTCCTCAGGTGAGGAGCTACCTTCCCTCTAGTCCAGCCTGCCACCAAGTAAGACTCCCTCCATGCCCCCCGTTTTTAGATATCTTGCTGTTAAAAAGCCAACACTCACTTTCAGTAACTCTGGCTCCCAGGAGTCCAGTGTGAGAGATCGGACCTTGGAGCAGTGAACACCCAGACTCCTGTTTATCCAAAAGGAAAAAAACTGAAATGGGTACATGCCTCAGAACAGAACTTCTCATGCATCATAAGGTGAACAAGATCAATCCATTTCTTATGTATTTATCTATATAGCCATAGCTATAGCAGAGCAAATTATACATATGCATACACAGATGTACCTGCACACACAGGTACCACAGCAAGCAATTACTTTTGAATTTATCTGTACAAACATCATAGGCAGATGTAATTCAGCCCCCACTATGTTTTCCAGGAGCTTGCAGTCCATTCCTGGCTGACACAGAGCACACACGCACGCAGTACCTGTGGATACCGGAGCACTCAATGCACAGCAGAATGCCCAGGTTGATACTGGCCCAGCGAGGATCTGGCTGACCGCAGTCACAGCACTGGTCATTCCCAGGGATGCTCTGCACTCTCTGCAAGATGGTCTCTCCTTTCACACTGCGCTCCCGCGAGTCGGTAGCAGAATCAATGCTGCTCGTTGATGGGGAAGCAGTGCGGTCCAGCCTCTGCAGGGAAAAACAAGGGTTCTAGGATTCTGCAAAGCACTGTGGAATGAATCAGCGCAAGCGTTTCCCAGAGGAACGTAATTCCTAGGGGAACATCAATCCAGAGTGATGGCAAGGAAGTGAAGGTGTCAGGACAACACTGATTTAAAGCCTTGCCTTTCTCCAGCCCAGCTTTATAAGTGTGGCTTTGGTTGGTGAACAATTGTTGCCTTTGAGCAACAGCATCAACATCAGCTCCCTTCCTTGAGGGCAGAGAAGTATTTCCAAATGGTCCACCCACACACACTGGATCCACCACAGCTCAAAAGCCCACTACCAGGGCTCTGAGACACAATTATGGATCTCTCATGGCCCCCTCACTCACTTCAATGTAGTAGCTGTCAGGGCTCTCTCGGTACGCAGAAGCGATGCTAGCTTGAACAGCCTGAATCCAGGCCTGACGCAGCTTCTCCGAGTCAGCCTGCAGCATGCAGCTCCTGCAAAGGAAGGAAATGAGTTGGAAAGAGCAGAAGGACAAGGTGCACATTTTGGTCAAAATCGTTCCACTTCATGCTCAGCATAGACATTGCAATGGGGGCAGCACCTTGATTTGACAGGCAAAGGGGCAAAAATTAATCCTACAAGCTTGCACTGTCAGAGGTGTTCCCTCTTCAAAAGCTCCAGGCAGGTCTGCTAGCTGTTTTGAAAAGCCAACCATTGCCAGTTCCCCTGCCTGTGGGTATATAAGGTACACGTGGCCTAGATCTGGCTTGTGCTGACATCTGATGAACTTCACAGAGACTGTGGAGTACAGGCAATGGTATCTCCCAGTCAATGTTTAACAGCCCAGGGTAGCATCTGCTCAAATCTAACCTCTTGCACTTCCATGCACAGCCCAGCTACCACGAGGATGGCCTAGGGGAGCCACCAAACTTACTTGGTAGGTGAGACGACCTCAAAGCAAAACCTCCTCTCTATGTCTTCACACGGCTTGACCGTACAGAGCCGCAGGTCTTCCACCACTACCGTGAGGACATCCTGAAAGGGTGAGAACAGGTGGCTTTGTTGGCTCCCTGAATCTGTGTCGTGATCAGGCCTCTCAGAAAACTCCTTCCCAAACCCTGCTGGTTAGCATATACTAGAGTCCAGCAAGAGCAGAGCCAGCCCACTGCGGATAACTGGGGCAAAAGGACGGGGCTGTACAGAATCAAACATGGGACAGCACACACATGAAGTGGCAACCTTACTGGGGATTTCACAACTCCCTCTGCTGAACAGGAATATTTAGCTCCCCACAGACACCATCTGCTGCCACTTAGTTCCCCTGGGGCAACAGGACGGGGCTGTACAGAATCAAAGCATGGGACAACACGCACATGAAGTAGCAGCCTTACTGGGGACTTCACAACTCCCTCTGCTGAACAGGAATATTTAGCTCCCCACAGACACCATCTGCTGCCACTTAGTTCCCACCACAGTCTAACTTTGGAGCACAATACTGCTTAAATGGGCTTCTGTCTCCCTTCTGTTCCCCTCCCCGCTTCTTCCACCCCACTGCCCCACCATGGTGTAGGAGCCCCCAGCAAAGCAGGATACCAGACAAGCTGGCTAATCTGCCAGTGACATCTGGGGTGACACTTCACTGACCTTTAGCTTCTTCTGGTAGACCAGCTGACTGTTCTGTATGGAGAACCACCTCCTGAGGGAAGACAGACAGACAGACAGACAGACAGACATCAGAACAAGCAAACAGCAGAGCTGCCACGAAGAAACTTCCAGGTGGAAGTGACAGAAGGTCCATGCGATGCTGATAGCAGAGCTAATTCCCTGGTGTCTTCATCTTTGGTGCTAAATCCAAACCCCCAAGTCGCTTCCTCATTCCACGACACAGCCTAAGATTTAGCAACCTGATCACAGAGGCCAATCGAAGCCATGACCATGACGAAGCTTCAGGAAGAAGTAACTGGGATACCTGAGCATAAAGAGTCGGAGAGGCTTGCAGCAAGATGTTATTTAGGGCATGCATTACATACTCCTTGCAAAAGAACTAGGTTCCCTGGAAAAATGAGATGAGACCGGATTCTCCTTCTTTTGTCACTGCTGAAATAGTGAACAGATAAAAGATAATAAAAGGACTTGACATGTCTGGGGAGAAATGGGAAAATACAGGTAACTGGAGGCCATCCTATCTATGAAGGAGCCCGTTTTGATGAGCTGACACAGTTGTGCAGCATTCTGAGCTGCGGTGACAGCAGCAGTCTATGCTCAAGGAGCTCTGCTGTCACATGAAGCTTGTCTTGGGTTCTGGTCTCTGCTCTCCTGCTCACCACCCCACCACCATTTCTGGTGCTGGCTCCCAGCCCGATACCCTGCAGGTTTTGCTGTTCTCTCTGCCTGCCACCTCCCGCTCACTTGAGGGGGAGGCACTAACAGTGAAGAGCTGAGTGACAGCGAGAAGGTGCTGAGTAGGCTACAGGAGGTGTGAATAGCTAAGATGTGGGTAGATATGGGTAAGAGTGAGTGGGACTGAGGAGACAGAGATAGCTCTGGGGAGGATACAGACTGCGTGTGACTGAGATGTAGGAGGATACGGGGAGGATAGCTGGGATTTGGGGGACAGGGAAAACTTGGAGCTCTCGACACCAACATGACATCAGGAAAACCAGAAAGACCCAGAGGGTCATGTTCCCTCCAGGATAAATGCCCTTTTGAAGTGACCCTTGAATTGCTTGGACCCTTGCTAGGAGAAGGGAGCTGCCTGGAACTGTTCCTCTATCACAAGAGCCAAGCACAGGTCTTGACATGAACCTGACACACTGGGGGACGATCTTCTGCTCCACAAAATCATGTGGTGTCAGTGAGAGCAGCCATGCTATTGACCAAACCTATACTTTGCTAGAGAAACACTAAGCAGGCAGTCCTAAAAGGTTGATAAGAATTCAGCTAAGATACCTTTCCAGTGCAACAGCTTGTGAGCACTGAAATCACAGAATCACAGAATCGCTCAGTTGGAAAAGACCTCTGAGATCATCACGTCCAACCGCTCCTGCCTACCCCCTAAACCATATCCCTAAGTACCTCGTCTACCCGCTCTTTAAACACATCCAGGGATGGTGACTCCACCACCTCCCTGGGCAGCCTGTGCCAGCTTCTGACGACCCTCTCAGTAAAGAACTTCCTCCTTATCTCCAACCTGAACCTCCCTTGGCACAGCTTGGTGCCGTTTCCCCTTGTTCTATCCCCCAGCCCCCACCTCTCTACAAGCTCCCTTGAGGCAGTTGTAGGTGGTGATGAGGTCTCCCCTCAGCCTTCTCTTCTCCAGGCTAAACAAGCCCAGTTCCCTCAGCCGCTCCTCATCAGGCCTGTTCTCCAGACCCCTCAAATCAAACACTGGGATGCACTGTGCTGGAGATGCTGCTGGAGCTTCTGGTTCCTTCTAGTGCAAATTTAATACTTAACTGTCAGGGGACCAGAGAGCCTGAGGGGTAATAAAATTATACGAAATTTGACTGGAATCTGCTTAGTACCAGGGGAAGCCTCAGAGAGAAGGAATCACTTATCTAACCAAAACAGACCTCTAATAATTTCAAGCCTTTTTTCCATGCAAGTACAGGCAGTTACTGTGCATACCACAAACTGTTCGCTGAACCATTTAGCATTTATGTGTTCCAAAGTCTAACAGCGCATTTCAGCCTTGCTGTGGTGTATACTTTGAATGTATCCCATAGCCAAGGAAAAGATCTCTTAAAATTGTATCATTTCCCTGTTATGTGAGAGGAGGAAATGTAGGTCAAAAAGGCATTGATCTCATGCATTAGAAACTCGCTGGAAAGGTTTGAATCCTTTTGCACAGCCGTGTATGAAACCCATTGACTATCTCAAGGGAACCTAAACACTCAAATATCGAGCAAGGCCAGAACATGAAACCTTTGCTTCCACTTTTCCAAGGTCTCTGGCAGCTGAGAGACTCCTAACTAGTGCAGGAGGCATACGAGCCTGGCCTTCCCAGTGACCTATCAGATGAAAGGGTTGTAAATTATTAAGAGCAGGGTCAGTGCACAGAAAGCCATTTCCCAGCTCCCAACAGCACAGCTGATATTTCCACTTTCACATATCTCCCCGTCACAGAACAGACAGGTTTGATACTCGTGGCATGTCCTGCTGTGTTAGGCAGTTAGCTTAATTGTTATAAATTTCTTAGGGCAAGACTCCAGCTGCATTGTGCCTTATCTTGGTGATTCATCCATTGTGGAAGGCACAGAGAATCCTTCCAGTGATGACAACAGTTGCTAAGAGCTCACTAAAAGTGAAGCGTGTTCCTGTGCAGGCAGTATTAGCTGTGCTCAGAGAGCCTCAGCCCAGAGATGAATGGAGTACAAGTTATTACTCACCGATTCCATGTTTTGAAAGCATTGCTAGCTCTCTTGAAGAGGTAGCCTTCCATCACCACTCCATTTGGGGCATCGACATTAAACTCCACCTTCGAGTCATCATAGGAGAAGTCCTGCAAGGAGAAAGGGACTGAGACTCCGACATGACTGCAATCTCTAGGACCAAGATGGACACGAGCCTAATCAAAACATCAACAGGAGGAAAACACCAATGTCAAAATCCTAAGGTTCAGGACAGAGCTGTCTGCCACAGCATATCCCTGTGCCTTAGCGGGCTGCAGCCATGAATTACCCTCATTCCAATAAGCTTATCTGTCCCTGTTGTTTGCAGGAAAGTACTACAGATGCTGTATTTCCCTCAGTAGCTGATAAGGAGAAAGGCAAGTAGCTTATTGTGAGGGCTAAAAATTCCCAATATTTGGGGCAGTCTGCAATGGGAAATAAAGCAACAGAGGCGCTTTTCAGTGGCCAAGTGTTAGCAATGGTGCTGCCACCTCTGTGTTCTGCAAGGGGCCAGGAACAGAAGAAAGCCCAGCCTTTTCACACAAGGAAGACAGGCATGATGACTTCTAGAGGAGAAGCCTTATCAATCCCATTTTCATTAGCTGTCATCATACGCCATCCCCAATCTGCGCTCACTCAATTCTCCGTGCTATGCTACCAGTCAGAGCTGATTTGTCAGGGTTGGCAGCGATTCATCAGGCAGATCTCATGGCTTCTGACAGCTGCTGAGCAAGACACAGCGCAGAGAGAAGAGCAGCTGCTCTCGCCAAACATGGGATCCTTCTCCTTGGGCAATGCTCTGCCTCCTTCCCAGGAGAAACTAGGTCACGAAACCTAAATGATTTTCCCCTCTAACCTGGGAAACTGAGGCCCATTGTCTCTGTGCAGACTGATCCCACTCTAATGATGTATTCTACCCACTCCTCTCTCTCGAGCACAAATATTTCCCCCTCCCCGTACTACTGGGTTGAAAGACACGACCACGCAGTGAAAACAGCCCCATTAAGTTAAGTGCCTTTCCTAGCTCAGCATATGAAGACCCTTGCGATGCCGCGTTGCCAGGCAACGTGCACTTCACTCTCATTAAGATGAGTTATTTTCATGTTCAGAGATGCAAGCTTGCCTGGGAGGTGTCATAAGAAGAATAATACTGATACAGAAGGAGGAGATCTAATGGGACAGGACTGAGTCATTCCTCGGAAAGACAGCATGATGCCCAATTAGACACTGGAAACTGCTGTAAGGCACCCAATTAAGAGAGGGCTGCTCAGCCCCAAATTTTCTTGCCATAAGAGGGTGAATCCCATGGGGGTCCTCTTCTGCAGATGTCTTTCATGTCCATACTGCAAACAAAGGCTAGAGGGAATTTTCCCTCTAACTCAGATATTTGACTGTGGGATTTTTATAGAGCTGCTCCAAATTTCTATAAAGTCGATGAGCGTCTACACTGTTTGATAATAATGCAAACACCCAAAAATCTGGACCTTGTTGAGAAGCGCACAGCAAGTGGAGGGCAAAACCCTTCCAAGCGCATCCTAAAAATGACCGCTTAGCTGTGCCTCACTTTGTGGAAGAGGTAAAAAATGAGGAGGAGGGTTTAAATATAATCACCTGACTTCTTCAGCTGCCCTTATATAAGTGTGATGGGAAGAAGGATATATTGCCGATGAGTGCAGGAGGAACAGATGGGCCATATGCGTCACTGGAGTAAATCCATTAAAAGACAGTGCACACAAGCCAGGTGTGAATGTAACCTCCTCCAGTCTGTATTGTGTTATGCCTCTCTACAAATTGATTGCCTTTGAAAGAACTCTGACCTGCACCAAGGCCACTTTTAGAAAGAGAAAATTATACCAAAAAGCCCACAAAGTGCATGTACAGCTAGGATAGCAGAGGGCCAGCTGGGTAGAAATGTAAGAACATTGCTGGGAAGAAGGGCTTGTGTTTGCATTGCTTGGAAGATATTTCTCTTCGCTGGTTAGGAAACATCCCCAGGCCAAATTCTGCTCTCGTATTTCTGCTGGTGTCATTCCTGAGCAGCTCCACTGGCAGAGCTACTGCAGGGCAGAATACCTCGACCAGAGCTGTAAGCTGGATTTGTAAAGTAGGTACAAAGGAAGGGCGAGATCCAGGGGATAAGGACCTGTCTGCCTCTTATCCTCAGGAAATGCAGCAGTCTGATCTGCAGGGACACTTTGTTCCTTCCCGTTGCACCCTGCTTGGAAGCACCTGAAGTTTTTGCTTCAAAGTCTGGGTAACTGAAAGGCAAAATCATGGCAAGTGCAATTGTGAAACTCCCAGCATGCTAAAATGAGCTTAAACTATGGGCTTAAACAACAGACTCCTAGGGAAATCTTCTTGCTGTGGCCCGTACGGGGAACTTCCTTTCCACAGCCATTGAAAAGAGAGGACACATTTCTGGAAAAAGAGTTACAAGAACATCTGCTGAAACCTAATCCCAGGTCCAAGCCAGCTTAGAAACTGTCTGAGGAGATCATCTTGCCAATGGTGTTCAAACACCATGCTGAACCCCCATGTGGCCAGAGCTGGATACTCACAGATGTGTGACAATCCCCTTAGCTGGCAAAGCTACCCCTAATGTGCCCCTGTATCTGTTCTAGTCATTGACATCGCTTTGTCTTGTCCCCTCTTTTTCCACTTCCTCCTATACACAAGATTTTAATGCCTAATTTGAATAAACTGCATTTTACCGAATTCTTCCCATCACTGCATCATACGCAGAACAGGCAAGGCTGCTCTGAGTTTGGACTGATTTATTGAGTCTGCATTTAGCACCTCATTGTCTCTGTAATGCAAACATGCTCGACATGGAAAAGGCTTCCTAGGATTGGGATCTGAACGGCTTTGGCTGCAACTGCACACGCAGTCGTGATTAGCAACAGCAGTGACACATCGGATCACATGTTGGTAAAATAAAGCGGACGTCTTCCAAAACAAAGAAGCCAGATCTCTGCCATCATCTGCTTGGCCTTTCAGTAAATCACACCGATGTTGTCTCCCTGTCCCCTCCCCTCCTCAGGCCTGTCCCTGCGAGTTTACACACCAGGCTGCCTGGGAACTGATGTTCCTTTAGAAACGGCATCAAAGGTTTCCACGGGCGCACGCTGAACGTTGCTGAAGCAAAAACGAAGTAACGCAGCCCAAGAGACACATCCACAGGGATGTGGAAAAGGACATCACAGAATCACAGAATCGCTCGGTTGGAAAAGACCTCCAAGATCCTCATGTCCAACCGTTCCTGTCTACCCACTAAACCATATCCCTAAGTACCTCGTCTACCCGCTCCTTAAATACATCCAGGGATGGTGACTCCACCACCTCCCTGGGCAGCCTGTTCCAGCTTCTGACGACCCTCTCAGTAAAGAACTTCCTCCTCATCTCTAACCTGAACCTCCCTTGGCACAGCTTGGTGCCGTTTCCCCTTGTTCTATCCCCCATCACCTGGGAGAAGAGACCAGCACCCACCTCTCTACAAGCTCCCTTGAGGCAGTTGGAGGTGGTGATGAGGTCTCCCCTCAGCCTTCTCTTCTCCAAGCTAAACAACCCCAGTTCCCTCAGCCGCTCCTCATAAGGCTTGTTCTCCAGAGCCCTCACCATCCTTATGCATTAATCCACATTAATGCAAACACTCCCAAACCAGCACATGGAAAGCAAAAACCCAGCACAGGCACAAACAGGCCTGTGAAAGGATCAACAAAAAGAAAGAAAAATCTCTGTTTGAGGGCTGCCTCATGGTCTGCTCTGTTAAGAGCTCCCTTGTCCATCTCCACACAGCATGGACAGACGCTGCTTGCATTGCAGAGGCTGGACAAGCTCTTGCCATTGCTGCTGTGAAGGCAGCTTTTCACACAGAGAAAATGGCTGATGACATTAAATAAAGCTCCAGATTCGGTGAACAGGCTCAATGTGAAGAGCGATGCGGGGGAGAGTCTTCCAAGGAAGGAGCCCTCTCTAAGAGCGCACCCACTGAAGTAGGAAAGTCTTGTCTGTAGGTTCATTGCTATCCCAAAGAGCACACCACCTGGCTGCCAACACATAGAACCGGTCTCTAAAATACCACGGCTGCCTTAAAACTCTTTAAAATACCATCACTATGGCAATGGCCCTCCCTGAAAAGCCGTACAATTACTCCCCCAGTGCATCAATTCAATGTGAAAATAAGAACGCTGTCCTTTCTGTGCAGTGTTTGGATTTCTACTGGCAGTATTAAAACTAGGCAACCACGACCAGTGATTTCAGTCCAGGTGTTTTTAGATATTCAGAGAAATATTTCTTACTACCAAACCTCCATTTTATGCTACTTTCCATCAGTACCACTGGGGATAAGTGACAACACACACGATACATGCTTTCCCTCATAGAAAACAAAGACTTTATCCAAAAGTGCCCTCTTCACTTAAGTAATCAATAGTGCTCAGTATTCAACACTAGTATTATGCACATTTTAACAACATAATGCGTACATCTATGTGCTGAAAAGAACTTCTGGAGGCGACTTAAAAGCTCTATGTGCCCAGTCTGCCTATTTGATTCTGAAGAGACCATAATTCAGGGGAATATTCGCATCCCTAAAGATGCACACAGACCCCATCCACACAAACTCTGCTTCATGCACATTCTGGTGCTTGAACACATCTCAGCCTTTCCTCTCTTCTTCCCTCTGTGTATATACTGTGCACAACCCGCGACCCTCAGAGGCAGATGGAATTTGGAGGAGGGCTCCCCCACCTACATTCCCGTTCTGCGCAGACGGCTTTCGCTCATTCCAGCCAAATCCCATTTACAGACCTTTTGTTTCTTGAATTTCCTAATGCCAAACCATCTCCCCGCTCTGCACCCTGCCAGCAGATGATGCACAGAGATCTGTGCCCTGCCCCAGAGCTTTTCCACCCCCGAAACAGCACTAACCACATTTGCTCTGCTGCAGTAATAAAGCTTTCAGGTCGCATCAGCAAGCGAGGTCCTACAGGCACCATCCTTGCAACCCCAGGGCAAAGTGCCCTCTAAACTTTCTCCCCGACTCAAACCAACCCTGCAGGAGTCTCCTTACCAGGAGGTATTCGAGCCTGCCGAAAATCTTCATGCTGCCAGCTGCAAGAGAGGATTTGCTGCTCTTGCCTGGAGAGCAGGGAACAGCTCCGTGTCCTCTCTCTCTCTCTCTGTGTTCGCTCTCTAGAGTAGCATCTCTGCTAAGCACCGTGGGCTGGCAGGGAAGGAGGGATTTCTTTTTCAGCCCCTGCTCCTTTCCCCCTCCTACTCCTTTTTGGGAAGCTTTCTGCTCTGCCCTTGGCTTCTGTCAAAGCAAGGGGCACCAGGCGAAGGAAGTCCGCTGGCCCCTGGGGACCACCTGCCCGCCCCCCTCCCCTGCCTCCTATTCACAGGCAATCAGCTTAGAGCAACGCTAATTATCATACAGCTGTCATGGAGGCACAGAAGGGAGCAGGAGAAGCCAGGCAGCACAGAGCAAAGTTGACAGGAAGATGCTCACCCAACGCCTCCCTGACCTTCTCAGAGCCAGGCTCGGCTTCCCCGCGGCAGGGGCTGCTTCCCCCCCGGGCTGGAGCAGAGCCACGCTTTGGCCAGCGATCCCACCCCTGCTCCAGTGCAGTCACAGAGGTCCGGGTGGTGAGGAGCCATATGGCCCCATGTTTGTTATCTACCAGCTGGACTCAATGAGGCAGAGAGCTCTGCCTTGGCACCGCGTCCTCCCTGCCCAAAAACCAGGCAGCAGAAGCACAATTGCTTCCCCCACAACTCCAGGGCAGGGAATAGCTGTGAGGCTGCAAGGAGCTTTTATAGAGCCCTGTATTCATCCACTTTCAGAGACCAGCCTGTCAGTTTGGGTGTTCCAGTGCCAAGTTCTCCAAAATCTTTCTCCCACATGCTCCAACCTACACCTTGTGTGTCTTTGTGCGTCCACCTGAAGCAACCGAGCCCACGTAAAAACATAGAAACCCATCACACGTGTGGGTTAAGACAGCTTAGTTCAACACACAAGAGAAACGTGGGAAGCTACAAAAATATCTCCTCAGCCTTTGCAGAAGCATATTCCACACTGCAGTCCTTGCACACACACATCCCACACAGCCAGAAATGCACCCCCAGCCTTCACGCTGCAGCTCTCCTCTCTCTGCACAACAGGAAGATAACTCAAATATTTATTGGAGCCCGTATAAATCAACACTCTTCCTCTCCTCTGGCTGATTTTATTGGAACACTTTTTGTATAAGTGAGGATTCTTTTCACATGAAGTGTGAAGCTGCAAATGGAGCTCCTCAAGGTTTCGGAGCTGGGAAGGCAGAGAGGGCAGTGGTTAAAATGACAATTTGAAAGATAGCTGCCCTAGCAACCTGCCCCAAAGCTGGCAGATGTTCCAAAAGGGAAGATGGGAAAAGGATGACATAGGAAAAAGGCGCCTGAATTCCAGTATCAAAGAAAAGAGTCAAGATTCCCGCTGAGTTTTTCTCATGTCAAATTCATTTTAATTAAAATAATAATGAAACAAAATGCCACAGACCACTTCCTTATGGACTCAGCTCTTCCAAGGCTGCCCTCCACGCCTCACAAAGCTCCCCAAAGAAAATTCAGTGAACAAGGCCCCATCTTCAGTATCTGCACAGCTCCCCCACCCCAAGAACACTTCAAAACTCATTCTTTAAAGTGGATTCCCTCTGCTTCTGTCACGCCTTAGCAGGCTGCCTGGGAAGACACTGTGTTGAGGAAAAATGTTACTACTGCCACTCCTCTCTAATTAAGCGCAAGTAAATCTCCAAATTTTTCAAGAGACCAGAGGGTACTGTGGGCTCAGCACGAAGACGTCTATTCAAATACATGCGGTGCTCCCTGCAGAGACAGCGAGATGCTCACCAGATGCAGAGTGCCATGCTCCATTGCAAAGAGAGGAGCAACACGGACGCAGAGCAGCTGAAGAGCAGACTCATAACATTTCCAGGCAGGAAGCTTTAAATCCTCAACTGCAGCAGGGACGCTCGGCTCTCTTATAAGCTTATTCACAGAGAGCCACAGCTCTATGCATACGGATCCTGATGAAGAGTAATTAATTGCTCGTCCTCCCTCTTGGAGCCTGACCTCTGCTTCATTCCCTGCTGGTCCAGTCAGCAAAGCCACGTAAAGAGATTTAACTGAAATGCAAGGCACTGGAGAGATTTTCCACGTTCCCTCGATGAAGTCATCACTCCAGCAGAGTCCCAGGGGACCCCAGGGTTCACAAATGGACTCACCCCTCCCTCTGAACACTTCACCGAAGGGAGCACACGCACAGGCTGATTCACAGGGAATGTCTGTCATTAGCTTTCAAATCTGGTTACGTCTCCATTTCACGGGTTATGGCATTTTTGAGAGAGAGCATTAGCAAGAAAACAGCGGCCATTAAGATTCCTCCTGTTGAGAAGTATTGATCCACAAAAGTGCCTGCCACATATGGACTCCTTAGCGGTTTCTACTCAGGGCTTGGCACACGAACAGCTATTTCTCAGGGCTTTCCAAAATCCTCTCTTGCTGTGTCCACAGAGCATGACGGTGTGTGTGAGAGAGCTCGTGTGTGGATGTTGAAAGCTCACCAACACTCTGCTATGAGCCTGTGCAGCCAATTCACCTCCCACCGGACCCATGGTCCTCAAAGTGGCAGCCAAGTACTGCTGCCACTGCAGTACTGACCTCCAAGTCAAGACTGACCCCCACACACAGCAGAGGGAACCAAAATCTTACTTTAGCATAGGACTGAAAGCAACTTTCATGAGGATGAAGCCAAACTCATTTGAACCTGGGCTTTAAAGTTACATCTCCAGTGTTCAGGTTGCAGCATGAATGCCTTGGCAAGGTTTCTTTGTTTTGCTTTCAAAGGCAAGGCTTAGTAAATAGCCAGAGCAGCAAAGTGCTAATTCTGAGCAATGAAGATGCCAGAAAAAGGAAATACATGTGGGTACTCACCTGCAGGAGGGTCTGCAGGGGCAGGTCAGCAATCCATCAATAAGGGAAAGGGAAAAAAAATCAGTTAATATTGCTACAAGCCCCAGATTTGGAATCATTCTCAGATGAGTGGTCTGGAAAATCAGAGCCCACCAAAGATGCCTCCTTACTAAAGACTCAGACTTTTTTGATAATATATCCTGTTACCTTGCCAGTTGCTGGTGGTTACTCCCAATGACAGCAGATGAGAGCACACACACAGTGGGTTACCATAGCTCAGCTGAAAACAACAGCTTGCTCAGCCATGGCAGCTCTATGGCTTGGGTCCCCATGGACCTTTCCAAATTATGCTGCTCAAGGCTGTAGCTGTGTCATGTCACAGAGCTAAATCTGCAGTTTGGAGCAGATTTACATGAAAAGTTCACTGCAGCACACATCTCAACAGCAGTACAGAGTCCTGCTCTCTCTGCCCCACAACCCATGAACATCAGTGCAGTGTGGGCTCCCTCTGAATGAAGAAAAGGCTCTGCAGCTGCAGCCCCAGGACTCACCCTCTGTTGTATCAATGCATGCTTGTGCTCCATCTCCCTCTTTTCCACTGCAGAATCAATCACCAGCTGGTCCAGCTAAAGGCAGAGGGGAGAAAACCAGGTATAAAAGTCAGGAAGGAGGTTTATGAGCCACTGTCCATCTCTGCTTCCCTGCTCTGGGATTACATAGCCCTCCCTAATGCTGTAAGTCCCCACAAGATGGGAAAAGAGCTGTGTTTGGGTGTGCACAGAAAGTAACCATAGCTCTTGGCTGTCACTATGTAGTGCAGCATGGCTCATCCAACATCCAGCAAGCATGATGCTCTGACCACTCCCTGATTACCAAGTACAGCAGCTGAATAGGAAAGAGGACGTCCTTTCAGGGTGAAGGGGTACAAATAGGCAGATTGAGTCGATCATATTCCCTGTCCCCTCACCTCTGTGGCTAGTTTCTTCATGTAGGGATCCAGTTCATGGAGAAGACTGTAGCCCTGCTGGAAAAAGGTGTACTGGGCATGCATGAAGGACAGCATCTGGGAAGGGAAACAATCGCAAGGTCAGAATAGGTCCTGGGACAAAGTGAGTGTGAAAAGTCCTTATCCCTCATTACCCACATACAGGTCTCTTCAAGGTCTAACCCTTTCCCTTCCCAAAGCAATCTATCCTGTAGATGCCTCTCCCTCTTCTCCTTTCTTCATCTCACAAATCCTTCCACACTGTCTGGTAACCCCTGTTGTGAGCACAAAGCAGTAAAAGCAGTGTCCTTCACCCCTGAAAGTCCCTTCCAGTCCTGGCCTGTGGACTATCTTGCTGGTCCTTCATTCTCCCCTCTTGTTAGCATACCTGCAGCCCCCAGAGCAGTCCCAGACAGTATCTCCAGGGCAGACCGAGGAGTCGGTATGTCGACCCATGCAACCTGAAATGGAGAGGGCTGCCTTTCATTGAGTCACTGAGAGCAGCCACAGAAAACACAGAGAGCCCTTACCGCATCCAGTATTTCAAACTTCTTCTTGGCCTGCAGGACGTTGATCTGTGAAGGAATCGAGACAAGACCCTCAGCACCAGCAGCACTAAGCAGTCTGGCATGGAGATCTAAGTAAGAACAACTCGCTGCAATACCCCTGGCAACACACCATGAACTATCCAAGGCCAGTTCTAGAAAGTTAATTTCTGAAAAGACAGCTCTGGTGAGTTCCAGCTGGAATCAAAAGGGAAACAGCACAGATGCATTTTCTGACCTGGGCTGCTACTGATTAAGGTCACTGCTAGGTGTACAGATAGCAAAATAGGCTGGCAACAAACAGTGACCCCAGAGTGCAATTTGGTATCACACGAAGGAGATGTTTAATCTATCAGGTCACTGCTTTGATTTATTTTAGCAGGCTGAGAGGTGCCAGTGAAGTTTGGAGCATTTACTGTAAGGATAGGAGACCCTGGCCATTCCTTGAGTCCTCTGGCAGGTGCTTGGCAGAGTGGTTGTAGAAGCCCATCTTTGACACCTCACAGTTCACTGCCTGCATCTTTGAGCAGCAAAGTCCCACCTAAAACCCCCTACCATAAAACCTGGGGCACAGTGCAGCAAGGCACCGCGTCCCAATTCTTTTTCTCTCTCCAATATTGTCCTATGCCACTTAGAAAATGAGTGCTAACCCTACTCCATGCAATTGCACAGTTGCAGCACATTTTGGAGGGCACAGGAATCTTTACCCTGAAAGGAAGAAACAGGAAGACTGGAATAACTCAAGACCAGGAGATATGTACGAAGAACAAGAAAGGCAGTATCTGTTTCTAATGTTCATCACTCTACCAGTGAGACTACAACCATCAGCATCTCTTAGAAAGATAAAACTATTGCCAATCTCTAACTGGTGACAACATCTGTGCACACAGATCCAGACATTTGCCCTAAAGGACATGCTCAATGTGTAAGAGCAATGATTTGCAGAGAATGCACTTGACAGTGTTGTGTTCTGTCCCTCATTTTCAGCAGTTTCATGACACTGTTTTGCCAGTTGGAGAGTTATAAAGATCAAGGCAGCTAAAGATTTGGGGAAGAGCCTCCCCTCTCTTACACCACTTATACTGATATCTGTGTCTATCTCAAGCAAATGTGATCAGCTACAGAACTCACAGCCCCACCAGTGAAGGTCCTCTCAGTCCAACCCAAACTACTTTTTCATACAGACAACCCAAAGGACCCTGGAACCCACTGCAGTACAGGGCTTTGCCAAGCCATACATGGGTTCATAGTGGTACAACCACACCAGTGCCTGGAAACAGAGCAAACCTTGGTGGTTTCCTACTCCATCACACACGTCCAATAGATTAGTAATCCTTTTGAACCCAGTTGTGCCCTCATCCCTCAACTTCTTCATTCCCTACAGTAGATTATTTCACGATTTGCCTGTGACGTCTTGCTCTGTACAGGGAAATCCAGTCAGAGCTGGGGGCACAGACACCAACCTGCAACACGTAGTCTAGGGCCAGATGCCGGAAACACTTTCTGGTTATGGTCAAGGTGCCTGTTGCCTCCTCTACTTCATGAGGCTTGTGCCGAGGTGCCTGGGCATTCTTCACCAGCGAAATCTCCATGTCCTCTCGCACCTTGTCAAACTGCTTCTTGGTTTCCTTGAACTTCCGGACGTCACTGAAACCCAAAGAAGATGAGATGGTGAGAATCACACCATTAATCACACGTGCATATCCCCAGTGGAAAGGAGCGGGAGTTTGGAGGCATGGAATACTGCTGGAAACCCTCAGCTAGCTCTAAGCCAGGCTGCATCAGCATGGCTGCAACCTCAGGACTTAGCGAATAAAACCCTCTTCCTTAGCAAGGTCTGTGACCATGCTGAGGCAGCCACAGAGCACTTGGCTACTGACAGCATGGGCAGGGCAAACTGACCTCTCCTGTATGCATCACATAAATAAACCAGGCCTTAAATAAAGACTTTCAGGGCCTGGGGACAGGGAGGGCAGGTTAGGAGGTAAATCTTGCCCCCTCAGATATGTATGAGTCACCACATAAGGGCACAGATCCCGCTATTTCTTTGTTCCCATCATCAGCTGGGAAGCTGCAGAGTGGCCCTAGGCAGATTATTCAAAAAGGTCCCAAGAATAGAAATTATTTTCCAACCAAGGGCAAGCACAACACAAAGATCAAAGCACCATGGCCTTCGAGCGCAGAAGTTGAGCGGTACAAGTGCAAAAAAAAAAAGTAAACGGCAAAGATGCTGGAAGGATGACAGAGCCAAAATGAAGGTGAAACTCCCCTTTCCGACTGCCAGCCCTAAGCAGATTAAATCTGAGCTCATCAGAGAAATGATTAGAGAGAAAGCGGGGGTAGGGCGAGTGCTAGGCAAGGAGATGGGGATGAGGACTGGGGGGGTCAGCTAGGGACCCCCTCCCTGCACCAAACCGCACAGCTGCTGAGGGATTCACAGGCAATTGCTGGTTCCCATGGCAACCAGCTCTGCTCAGCTGAAGGCCTCAGTTGCCTCTCTGACCTATATTCAGCCGATTTGGGATCCCGAGCTGCACTGGGTACCTGCCCCGGGGAAAAAAAGGCACTCGGAGGAAATGTTTTAGTGCAGCAATGGCAGGGACAGCCTGCAGAGAGCCATGATCAAAGGTACAGACTGTGCCCACTCCATTAACTTCCTGGGCCCAGCTCTCCCGCACCTCAGGCCTGCAAGTTAACTCCCTTAATATGCAATATCCTGCATCGCTCACAGCAGGGCACGGTAAACTTGCTTTTTATTAGCAAAGAACTCTGAACTAGTGGTCAAGCTCCAAGCTGAAGCCACAGTGATGATCCTTCACACAAGGAAGGGCCCTCCTGGTTGCCATCTTCCAGACAGACGCTCAGGTTACCCCAGAAGAGCGGGGCTACTGTCATTTTGAGTGACTACGCGTATTGTGTGGGGGGCTAAAACACAATGATTCCGCTGGGCCCCAAAGTCATTTGGCAGCAAAATTCCTCCCTTCTGCAAGCAGGCACTGGTTTAAAACACTAATGAAACTCTGCATCGAGCATAAGATAACATAAGATGCAGAGCTGGCCCTGCTCCTGAGGGATCTGAGCTCCTGGATGTGTCTGACCTAGAGGATCAGTGAGAAACAGCAAAGATGGGCTCTGCAGATGAACTTCACCAGACTTTGGGATGGTGCTCTGATCTAGAAGTACACACCCTGTCCAGCTTTAACAGGATAAAGACACCCAGTTAACAACAGAGGAACCAAATGGCAGCGTAGCAAGATGACAGCAACAGCCATCACACAAACCAGAGCACTTCATCTGCCCTTCAGTGTCTCTTCTGCTCCAAGCAGAGCCTTCAGTTGGTGTGTGGAGGTTATAGTGCTCTTTCCAGTGCACAAAGGACAGGTGCAATTAAAGTTCAAGAAGCTGAACACCAAACTGGTAAGACAAGTACTCACTCTTTCACAAAATTGTGCAGCTGCTGCCGGACCGACCTCTGAGCCTGGTCAAACAGGATCTGAAAGAAAAGAGAGAGAAAAGACTATCAAAACATTTTTGCAACATGGAAATACTGAGGAGTCAGAAAATCCACTAATGGTCTCTAGGACATTCAATGTGAGGCACTCAGAATTACTCCAGGGCTTTGTCCAGTACTTGATGGCTGTCGTAATGGATAATAACATTTTTCTGTAGCTGCTGCACTCCTTTATAAGTGCAGGACAAGAAGCAGTTGCTTTCATAGTCACAACTTGGACGTCTCCAGAGCCTCAAATTCCTCATTTGGCCAGAGGAGGGCACTGTCACCCCAACACTACACCAGTTCGGGCAGGAGCCAGGAGCAACCCTGGAGGTACCTCACAGTCAGCCACACACCGATGGACATAGGTAAGAGGTCCAAGCAAACAGTGTAAAGAAACTTAGTTCCTACAAGTCTTTTAAGGTTTACTTTCCTATCTATCCCTCACAAAAAAATGGTCTCAACCCCATTACTTTACACTCTCTGCCCATCTCATTTCCAGTCCTTCCCATCCTCCTTTACGAGGTGTTCACCCCCTACCCTCTGCTAGACGTCCAACAGTGGTGTCTGCTCAGCTCCCTCCCATCCATCTCTGATGGGCATGGTTACAAATAACTCCATATTTCAGACATGTATCAGGATGACACAGCATTTTACCTAATTGGAAGCAGATGGGCAGAGGTTCCCAGACCACATAGCAACCGCAGCAGTAAGTAAACATCATCCTGGGGTTACAGAGAAAAGCCATTGCCCACGCTGCAGCTAGCAAGAGTGGCCCACAGACAATGGACAGAGACCCCATTTAATTCCACCGTCAGGAACACAAGGCCTGGGCACCAGCCCAAAACTTAATGATACCCTGAAACATCACAGTGCTGGGGTCTGGCACCACTACAGCTGTCTGGCATGAGTAACCCTGGCTCATTTGCTCCAAATCAACACTGTGTCCTGAGCAGCCAATTTAATCTAGAGAAATCCTGGAACACACAATGATAACTGTGTTTCTCCTCCTGAGGATGCAGTCACTGGGAGCAGCATTTCCCAGCCCAACATTTGGCCTTGCTGAAATGACCACAGCCCTTTCAGAAGAGGCTGCCTGAGCCCCCAGACTGTTCTCAACCACAGAGCGTGAGGCTGACAGGACTTTGTCAAGGTACCTTCTCTCACCAAGCAGACTGTATGAAGCCCTTCAGATTAAAACAATCAGCTTTTCCCAGTTTGCTTTTTTCCTTCTCTTTGTGGCAAGCTTGAGTTTCCAGTGGGAGTTTTCTGGGCAGCTTCCCTTAACACCTCACCCACCATCTCTCCTTTTCTGGCCACCTTCTCTCCTTCACTACACAGTTCAGGTAAGACCCAGAAGAGGTAAGCGCCTCTGGATCTCCTGGCCTTTCCCAAGAGGTGGGAATAATCATCTTGTATCAGACCATTTACAGTGCAAAAGAGCTGGCATTGCCTAAAGCAGCAGCTTTTTGTGAGGAGGTGATGTGTTAACCTTGTCTGGCTGCCAGGTGCCCACTGAGCCATTCTCTCACCACCCCTGCTTAGCAAGATGAGAAGAAAATAAGATTTAAAAGTTCATGGTTTCAGATTAAGTATAGGGAGATCACTCACCTTCACAGGCAAAACAGAATTTACTTGGAGAATAATTATTTAATTAATTGCCAATGAGAGGATTGCGAGAGACAAGAACCAAACTAAACACCTGTCCCTGCTGGAGGATGATCTGCATTCCCAGCCTGAGCAGCGCCGTGCCCACAACACGCAGATTTTGGCAGGCACTGCAGAGATCCAATATGTGACACACGATCCGAGGTGGTCACAAGCTTTAACCTTCTCATGCCCCATAGTAACCCACCAGCAAAGCCACCCTGGTTCATTCCTCACCCTTCCTTCCCGTGCCAGCAGACACAGTTGTCCTCCCTACCTAACATCTCCCAGTTGGAGATAAGCAAGTTCTGCTTTTGACGCTACACAGGTGTACTACTCCAAACAGCACACAGAGCACGCTGCGTAGAAGCAGCAGCATTGGCTGTAGAGCCCCATCCACGTTTGTTATGTGCATTGCTGCTGCCAAGGACAAAGCAAGAAATGTGCCAGGACTAGTGGAGTGTAAACAGCCACGAACAGCCTCTAAATATGAACAGATGCAAAGCAAGGGGGGAAAGAAAACCCCAAGACCACCCAGCTTTGTGTTTTTACCAATGTAAATTATTTACTGCTCTTGGCATCCATTCACTCTCTCCAACGTCACTCCAAGAGGCATTGGCCCACAACTTTTCCCATGGAGCAGCTTCCCCAAGCGATGTTTGGGCACTGACAGTGCTTTCCTCCACCCGTGATACCACGCAGGGATAGGCAAGCAGCAAGAAAGCCATCTGGTTTCCACCTGCACCTACACCTGGAAAGTTTCCATCAGTGGTTTACACCAGAGCAACACATTTGCTTAGGATCAAGGAGAGGAAGGGACACTATCATGTCACTCTCAGGACTGCAGACAAGTACTTCAGGGTATTCCAGGGTACCTAAAGATCAAACCACAGAGAGAAGGAAAGGGGCTTCCTCAGCTTGATAAATAGCAAATCTGGGCAGTGCCAGTGTGGAGCACCTACATCCAACCTTACCATTCCTGCCTGGAAAAGTCAGCTCCTGGCTGGCACCCTAGGGTACTGCATTGAAAACCACAAGCAAAAATCTGCTATATAACCTGCCTAGATATATACAAAAAGATACATAAAACCTGCTTATATAAAATCCTGCCTATAACAGGGAGGCACTCTCCCAGCAGCGCGCTTCCAGGCCTACGTGCGATGCTCCTCTCCTGCCACAGCACGAGCTCGTTCTCAGGCTGCCTGGGAAGTGAATTAACTAAGGATTCAGTCCAGGTCTACAGATCAGAGCTCATAAAACTGCTCCTTACTGAAGCTGTTTACTGAGAGGGAACTGAACTCGTGGTGATCACGTAAGCAGCGCTCCTGTGCCTGTGGTACAGGGCCATTGCTATGTGGGTTTTTAATTTAAATAGATCTGTATCGAGAGAACTGCACACATCAGGAAGACAGGCCATATATACCCATCCCCTGCTCTGTCAATGCTCCTCAGCTCCACTGCTGTTACCCATGCACTGAGGCCCACACCACAGCAACGGGGCCTTTCCTTCCAGTCAGATTCATACAGAGTAAAGCCTGGGGCAGGGATAGCCAAGAGGTCTGTGAGGAGATGCCAGATAATGAATACACCTTTCCTGCCAGCAGCATCTCCGTGGAGGAGCATCCTATGATACCAGCATTACTTTTATTGCTTCTTCATTAATTTTGCCAGGCAAGATCACCAGGGGAATATTTTCAAGTGGGTCCATTCAATGTTCAATACAAAATAAAGAGAGTTTTAAGGGCTAGAGTTTCAAATATAAAATCATCCCTTGGCTTTTTCTCCTTTCCCAGACATACTTGGAACAAATAATTTGTTTTAAGACTTTCCAGACCAAATACCACCCCACCCTCTCTCTTAGCTTCCACCAGGACATGAGAAGTCCAGCCTATGACTCACACATCCGTTCCTGGGGAGGGTCAGCCTGAAAGAAGGGAGTTAACACAGCTCTCACCCAACCGCAGCAGCAGGAGAGAGCCTACATTTCACTTTCCCAGCATGGGCTTCTGAGGATATGGGATAAATCCAAACCTGTGTTTGACAGGGGGCTTAGGAATTTCACACCCCTTAGAAATGAAAGCAAGTTCGGTGGTGCAGGATGTTATTCCTGGAACCGCAAGCCTAAAAATCAAGACATAGGGCATCAGAGATCCAAAGGGATGCCACTACTACAGCATTCCCACACAACTCCCTGCAGGGCTTACAAGAGAGGAGGCAAAGCAAAGCAGAAGCTAAAAAGAAGTGAGATTGCCCAGCTGTGGACTGCTTCTCTCAGCACTCATATGCATGATGTTTAGAAGCAGGACATCACAGCTGCACACAGGAGCAGTGCTCGAGTAGAGATTAAAGGCAGGCAACAGCATTTGTGGGAGGAATTTCTCAAGGAGCACCAGAGGCCATTGGACCAGGAGCTTGAGGGGGATAACACAGCTGGCAGGGCAGAAGCCTCAGTAGGTAAGGCTCCACCACACCAAAAAAGCAGGGCAGGTCCAGAGATAGTGGCCAAATTCAACGGAGGAATAAGTTTGTGGTGATGAGGCAGGTCCACAGTCAAGCTGGGAAGTCAGTCCACATATCAGAGTCAGACACAGGGGTTGCCAGGCAGATCCATGGTGACAAGACAGGTCCAGCACCAAGCCCAAAGAGTTTGTAAGTCGGGATGACCAGGATCCATAGCTGGGCACGGCTGTAGCTGAGCTGAAAACCTGTACTCCTACAACACAACTCAAAGCAAGAGTGGAAGACCCCAGGCTGAGCTTAAATGGAGTGTCTGGGCCTATGGGCAGAGGGAGGAGGTGGAAGCCCCAGATGGAGCTGGCCAGGGCTGTCAAGGTCTATTAGTGCACTGAGAGCCATAGCCCGAGATGAGATCAAGATCACCGAGCCATGCAGCCATTCTCCTGCAACAACTGGGCCCAGATGACAAGACGGAGGGTGTGGAGCTTCCTCTGCAGCTGCTGGACACATGGACAACAGCAGCTCTTCCTTCTCAAGCTCCGCCAATTCACCACCCCAGCCACAGCAGCCATGGGCTGGATGAGTCACGTCTGTCCTTATCTCCCTCATGGCCAGACTGGAGGCCCCTTTCTCATCAACTTTCCCAGAAACAGCCTGAGGACTGGTTTACGTTGCATTTAAGAGAGGGTTGGTTGTCTCTTCTTGTTGAGTCTCTCTCACAAAAAGCTGAAGAACTCCAGTTTGTGCTCAAGTCAAAGTACATTTGTTCCTGCCCCTTCCAGGGAGCTGAAGCTAACTAGAAAGTGGACAACCTAAGATATTCTAGAAATGGACAAAAGCCTCGTCTTTCTGAACCCCAGAATACGGCACTGAGCTCTTGTTAACTGCTCAACTGG